GTCCCTCCACAGACACAGCCCAAGGATGTCAGAAACCCGCTCAGATACCCCCAGTGACCTCACAAGTTTCTTCAAACTACATCTTATTTCTTTTTAATTATCAATGTTCTTGTTATTAGTCTGTAGAAGCTGCTTGGTTAAATATTTGGAGGAAAACAACACCTGTCCAACATGTCGGATTGTTATACACCAAAGCCATCCATTACAGTATATCGGGTAAGTGTGCAGTATGAAAGGAAAAGCACAAAGAGTTACTCTCTAAGCTGTAAAAATCTCTCAAATACAGCACAATTTCTGTCTACAATTTTTGCTTATTAATATTTTAAATATATATAAAGAAGCTTGATTAGAAGAGAATATTTATATAAAAGAGCTAAGTTATTGCTGTGAATTTACAAATCTTTTGAAGCAAATCCTTTTCTCTTGAATTGGACAAACACAATAAACTTTAATTCCTGAGTTAAGCTTAATGTGATTTAGTCACTTCCTGGTTTTTATGCCTGAATCATAGAGGTTGCACATATGGAACATCTACATGATTTTATTAAATCTTCAGAACAATGACTGGCAGTTGGACAGTGGTTTTCAGTGACTGACAGGGTGTGTTCAAAGACTTTGCAAATACACAGCATTATTGTTGATTTAGTCTTTCAAAGAACTGTTTAGTTCATAGGTGCAGATGGCTTCAACATCTTGAATGGGACAGTCTCTGAAAGATTTGTGCCTACTTCTTTCTATTCCCATACAGGGCTCTCTTACTGTGTGACCTAAAATGAATGGGGTGTTGTATCATAATTTCCTTCTTTTTCAGTGTATTTTCTGTTTATTTGTACATGACCTTTCTTTTTCTTCAACAATTTCCTCTAATTTTAAAAATTTCAAAGGTATCAGTCAAATATTTATACCACCTGACTTGGCTGGATCTGCACTAGAGATTTGTACCATAGCAACTTTTATTGATAGAAATGTATTGAAACAGTGTGTTCACAATGGCTGCTGCATGTTGTGTAGGCTCTAGTGCAGCTTTTGAAGAAGTGGCTATAGAAAATGAATCTGATTCTTTCTCCACTTTCACTGAGAATTGTGCACGCACTATAAAAACTTTCTGAATTGCTCAAAACTGAGTCCCCTTCAGTAGTCAGAAATAAGTTTTTCTTATATCTTCTGAGAATTATGTAGAATCTGTACTAAAGTATATTTTAAAAATATGACAAAACGGTAATGATAAATCCATGCCAGTAGCCAAGAAGAAACAAATGGCACTTAAGACAACATGATTGTCCTCTGTAAAGCGACAGGAATACATCTGCGTATTGGTTCAGAAGCCTGTTTTCAATGCTAAAAGAGTCCTGGGAGCATAGCCTCGAATTGAGTAGTTAGAAGTGAATTTGACAGTTGCTTATGGACACTGAATGCACAGTATTATGTCTTTTTAAAAATTGATCCCCTTCTTCAGTCTAGGTCCTTTGCTCTACTGCTTCAAAAAATGAAGATGCCATCCTAGAGAAGTATTTTCCTCATCTAGTTACAAAATACTACCCCTTAAAGATCAAAACAGATAGCCTTTGTCCAACCTGCTTTTGGAAGTCTGTTGTTTCTTTGACAGAGAATTAATCAGGAGGAATTTTGTATAATGTCTTAGTTACAAGAATCTGTGATCTATTTTATCCCCATCCATCTGGGGAATAGGTAAACCAAACACATTTCATATTTCATCATTAAGAATACTGTTAAATTCTCACCTCTGCTCTCATGCTGGTGGCTAAAATCATTCATTTAGATTGAAATGTTTTTGGAGATGTTCCTGCAGTCTGTAAATGACATTTAAAAATCCTAACCTGAGAGTCAAAGCTGAAGTTTGCTATTGTAAACTCTTCTGGGGTTAATGCCTTGGTAGCAGCTGAGGTTGACATTTTAGCATGTATTGGATTTTATTTATAGTTTAGAAATCAGGGTAATGTTCTGGTCCTTTCAGGCAATGACTTGGTTTAGAGTAATCCAGGAAATGGCATATTGTAGTTAAACTTTGGTTCAAAATATGAGTGTTTAGAATCTTAACCAGTCCTGCTTCCCTACCATTTCCTTCCTTATGTGCTGGATTGGTCTGCCTTTTTTTCTTCCATTCTTTTTAGCTAGATGGAATTCTGAGCTATATGATTTTGTTCTTGGGTAAAATGCTGAATTATAAGAGCAAACACAACGTTTCTTTCCTTTGTCATCTTTTTTTTCCCCTATGGGCTTTTTCCCACATGTTTTTTAAAAAGCCCAGTATGGTTAACTAAACAACCTAGCAACACGAGAGATTAATTAAAAGGGGTAAGAAACAGTCTAGTTTCTAGAAATAGAAAATTAAGAAATGCTTTTGTCAAAATTGTCAAGCAATTTTGAGAATTATGTTACTGATACACATGCAGATATATGGCATCTCTCACAGGATGCCATCCTTTGCATCATAAAGACCATCCTTCCTAGAATCTTTCCTAGCATTTCTGTTAAACTTTTGTCAGTTCTTGTCTTAGCCTGAACCTTAGCTGCATTCCTTTCTTGTTACTGTTATCTCATGTTTGATATTTCAGTTATTCAAGATAAATATTTTTATTTCTTACAAGATCTTAGAGGTTTGTAGAGTCAATTTAATACTAAATCTCTTTAAGATAAATGTTTTGAATCAAGATGGCTAATTTAAATCTTCAATTTTTCTTTTTCTCCTGCTAGTCATGATAGAACAATGCAAGATATTGTTTATAAACTTGTGCCAGGCCTCCAAGATGGTAAGTTTTCATGTGTGACCTATTTTTACTGAATGTTAGATTTACACATAGTTCCTTTACATTAACAAAAGAAGGAAGTGAGGAAAACGTTCACGGGGGGATGAAAAATGCCATCTTCACTTGTTCTGGTTATAGCACTACTTTTCCTCTACACTTCAATGCTTTTTAAAATTTTATTATTTCAAGGAAAAGTAACATTATGTAAACCTAAATAGGACTACAACTTTTTCATGTTGACATTCTATAATTTGCATACATTCTTATTTAATAAACTCATGTCTTTTTTGACACCTTTGCAGAGTTCTCATAGGTAGAATACTAATACAGCATAACTTAATTTCAATGGATTTTTCTTCTAACATGTACTTAAATCCTTTGCTAGCAGGTACCTTTGCATTTTTGTTCTTATAATCTATTTTGATAATGAATCTGTTGAACTAAAGGAATGCTTTATAGTAATTGTTCAGTATTATTTTTCAGTGGTGTGATGCTACTTTTAAGTAAAATATTTCAATCCAATTAAGCTGTCAAGTGAGGACATTGTTGGCCATTTATAAGCATGTTTAGTCAAAGATATTATATTTAAAATTGTTTCTAGGATTTTGAAAATCAGAATTACGGATAAAAATTCAAAAGCAATATTTTGACAGAAATATTGAAAGGGGAAAACCACAAAGTATGGTACAATATTTAAAATTTGTTTTATATGTAATAACATAATGGTGTAATAATAGCCCTGCAAATGACTTGGTAGTATTCTCCCTTTTGAGAATAAGATCTGGGGTAACTCAATTATGGCAGCAAGAATAGAGAAGTAGCAAAAAGTGCTAATACCAATTCCTACCTGACGAGCTTCTTTTACAGAACAGAGGAGAGTTTTGGAATACCTTGATAAATATTGTGCTAGAGCACAATACATAACTAATATTTACAATTTACATAACTAATATTTACAATTTTAAACAGCGGAAATGAAAAAGCAGAGGGAATTCTATCACAAACTGGGTATGGAAGTACCAGGGGACATCAAAGGGGAGACATGCTCTGCAAAGCAACATCTAGATTCACATCACAATGGTAAATGGTCTTATGTTTATTCTGTCTTGGGGTGGGGGTGCAGACTGCCATTAAGCTGTTGAAAGGATCTGTCAGAGGTAGGTGTCTAGCTAATATTTGTTACCACTTATAATTGTACTCATAATTGTACAAGGCTTGCTTGTGTTTATATATTGGACTATATACAAGATCTCACCACTATGAACTCACCATCTAAGTGCAGTATTGTCTTGCATCACATTTGTTTACAGAATGTGTTGTTTTAGCTGGCTGTAATGTGTTCCTGGTGAAGATATTCAGTAGTATCTAAGTGGGAACTCTATGATAAGAAAAGGTTACTTTTTATCCCAGTCCTGGGAAGTTATTTGCACTAACTTCAGAAACTGATGATCTTAAGTGTAATTTTGTGATACTGTGGTTGTGAAGTGCTGTGGTCTGAATCCTGAGCCCTGAATCAGAGTTGGCATATGGACGATTCTCACAACCAGGCAGAGGATTTTTCTCCCTACTGGGAAACTAGTTGGGTGTCTGTAGAACAGACACCCAGCAATCCTGAGAAATTTGTGATTAAAACCAAAATAGAGGAAGAAACATACTTTTTGGTTTTCTCTCAAGGCTTGGCCAACTTTGGCCAAAAACCATTAAGGAGGACAACACCAAGTGTCCCACTTTTGAAGTTAGTTTTGCAGGTTGCTTATGCAACTGGAGTTGTTTATTCAACAGTATAAGAGCTGGTCCCGCTTGCAGGCCCCGCTCGCAGTGGGTGGGGGAAGCCTGCCTATGGGTGGACACACCATGTAGGGTTTTCCACAATACTGGAAGGGCCCCCTAACTGTTCGCTGCAACCAGGGTTCCCAGAAATGGCAGGACAGGACAAGGGTAACATATTTGGCAACATCTCTCTTTGGCAATTACTATAGTAGCTTTTGTATGACTATGATTGGACTTTTGACTTGGCTTATTCCTTCCTTTGTTATGTCATCTGCTATGAGTAGATCTATTACCCTGCTTATTCCCCCTGCTGTTAACCATATTATATTCTTTCTGTATTTGCTGGAATTAACAATAAAATTTGTGTATGCTTTCTGCTGATGGCTGTGTCCTTTATGCTGGGTCACATAATTGGCAAAACAGGTGGTTATACTTAAATGTACATGTGTGTGTATTTATCCAAGGGCAAAAAAATTATCAAATTTGCGACTGTCTGGAGAACATATCAGTTTTACAGAAGAGTGAATGAGCCCTGACACAGTTGTAGCAAGGTATCTTGAATTGATTGTTTTGGGAAGCTTTGCATTAGTGTCCACATCTCTGCTACTAATATTAAAGCTGCTTTGTAACTTTTTTTCCTGTTAGAATAGAAGCTGATCATGCTCTGACAAGCCTAATTGCTTAAAAAACAAACAAAAAAAAACCCCACAATTGATCTTATAGTCTTGACTTTGTTTCAGGATTGCTTCTCATCTGATATGTCTGTTCTGCCAGTGACCAGGCCCAACAAAAATGATAGCACCAGCAGAAAGATGAGCCAATACACAGACTGTATTGTATACAAGAAGAACATTGCATGAACGATCGCTGAGGGTACAAACAGATCAATCAGCTGGTACACAATCGATGCTACCCCCAACAATCCCACAAACAACACAACTCAGCCAACAACAGGTGGTACAAACAGAGACCCAAGGTTGCCCACAGTTGGCATGGGAAACAGCCAGACCAGCAAGCTAAGCACATAAGAGAAAGGTGCCCACATAGTGACTCTCACCCGATTGGCCCGCATTCACAAAGGTCTAAACAGAGCAGGGCCCAGCTCCAGGGAGAGTCAGGAGGTCTGCCCTGAACCAGGAAGCTCTGTAGAATGCACTCCACAGACAGACACTCCTGACTCCCTGCAAGTGGTCCCAGCTTTTATCCCCAAGCAGACCCCTGACCTTTGTCAACTCCCTGCGGGACCCCTGGGGCTCATTTCCCTTCTGGCTCTCCCTGCAGGGCCGGCCGCACCCTGGGGGGAAGCTCTAAGGCAAACTCACCACCTCTGTATGAAGGGCTGTGGGAATCACCCATATGTCAGCCTTAACTTGGGGGCTTGGGGTTCAAACCCCAGCATTTCAATGTCTAATTTAATTATTGTAATATTCTGGTTTCTTCTGTAAGGTGAAACTAAACCAGATGAAAATTCAAACAAAGAAACTTCTGAAGAAAAGCAGGAAGAAGGTAATGATTATCATCGAAGTGATGAACAGGTGGGCTTACTTCTGATACAGGGCATTTCTTAGTTTTATTTAGTATTTCCACTTTATCTCTAAATTATTATTTTTCTTTGATAAACTTTTTTGTTTCTGACAGAGACAAGATACAGTGTTTCCCCATGCTTTTGTGTAAACTTGAGCTTCATTTTTTTTTATTCAGGTATCTGTGGAAAAATTTGGTTTTGAGAACTTTGTTAACATTTGATAGTTATAACTCATAGTTCTGAGTTTTCTGAATTTTGGCTAAACTCTGTGTTGGCCTTCATCTCAACTAGATTTCAAGTCATTTGGACTCTTTATCTGTGAATCTACTCCCATGCCACTCTGGTGCATTGGGGCTGAATATATTTCAATAATTAGTATGAAAAGTCATTTTTCGTTAGTATTTTGTGTCAAGTTTTAAATATAAAACCTGCTTGAGTATGAAACTTGATATGGGAATACACAAGTCACTGCTTTCATGTTTCCCTGCTAACTGGCTGTGTCCAAAGTAAATTAAATATGGATTTATTTTCTATTTAATGATACAATGGTAGTATCCAGATGTACTGGGCTTTGTATCAGATCATTTAAGTGCACAGAATAAAACTTATCTTAAAGTGCTTAGACTAAATAAAGAAGATAGATGCCTGAGAAAAGAAGAGGGAATTGAAGCACAGAGATCAAAAGGCCATCTTTTCCCATATAATCTTTTGAACTTCAAAATTTTGTTATATCATCTGCATCAGTAAATTTTAAAATTCAAAATATTATTTTAAAACATGCCTTAAATATTGAACTATGTTACTGAATTCAGAGATTAGAAGCAGTCATTAAAAAGTGATAATGGTTTTGTCAGGAAGCAGCAAGGGCAGTCTGCTGCTCCATAATAGCAGGCAAGCCAGAAGCCAAGTGACAGCAAGGCAGACAGAGTGCTGACCTCACCAATAATGGGTGCAGTCCCACAATACTTGATTAAGGAGACCATAGCATCTCTGGTGACAGTGACCAGATTCAGCCACAGTTCAGTGATCATCAGGTAAATCTTTAGTGATGAGGCAGGTCCAAGGTTAAGCCAGAAAGTGAATCAGCAAGTTGAAGTCAGGTCCAGAGACGACAGTAACCAAGGTCAGTCATACACAGTACAGTGATCACCAAGCCAAGTCCATAGTGATGCAACACATCCAAGGTCAAACCAGGAAGTCTAATCTGTGGGTTAGGGTCTAGGCTATGAACGCAGCTGCAATGTAGCTCATATAGGGGGACCAATCAACAGAGGGAGCTTCAGCTTAAATTATGCTAAGTAAAGCAGAGTGAGCTCACACTGAAAATTCTTCAAGCTTTTTCTCAAACAGCTTCACAACACTTTCATGGTCATACAGCTGCTTATCAACATTGGCCCTGAGCTCAGGCAACCAAACCCCCAGGGAAGAGGGGAATGAGCTCAGGGTCCTGACATGTTTTCATATTATATATCTTGCTTTGGTCTTGACCTAGGCTTCTTCTGAACTAGTTGTAACCTCTGCAGTTAGAATAAAGCTCTGGAACAAGGCAACCCTAAAGTTCTGCCTTCAACTTTTGTCCAGATCCCTTTTGAGTTGAATGGTGCTTAACAGTAAGCTGACAAAATACAGGACAACCTTTTTTTTTTTAATGACACTGCATGCATTTTGTTTTAAAGAATACTGGTTTTCTACATTTTCACCTTTTTGTTGGACTAATAAATGCTGTATATGAAATACATAATGGGGACTGCAGAAAATTCTGTCAACTAGCTCTGACTATGTTTGCTTTTTCTGAAGGTAAGCATCTGCTTGGAATGCAATAGCAGCAAATTACGTGGATTGAAACGAAAATGGATCCGCTGCTCAGCACAAGCAACAGTCTTGCATTTAAAGAAGTTCATTGCTAAAAAGCTTAACCTTTCTTCTTTTAATGAGGTAACTTTTTAAAGTTTAAAAATGATTTTGCAAATGAAAGTCTTATGGATAATTTTCAAAACAGTGTCTTTCCTTTCAACCAGATTTTAAAAAAACCTGAAGCATACACAGTTTCCTAATATAAAGGAACAGAAAACAGCTATTTAAATCGAGGAGCTGAATGCAGACAAATAGGTTTTTCTCCAAATTTACCTCCTCCCCTTTTAATTTAAGAATGCTGGTCATCTTCCCTTTTTTTCTCCCCCCCCAGTTCAATGGAGATGTAGCTCTTACTGAGTCTTGACTTTATACAGAGTTGGCAGTACAGCTCATTGTGTTGTTCCATGACCAGTTTTAGAACATGCCAAAAGGCTTGGTTATGTGTTTTCCACCTGTATTAAAACTGACTCCTGCAAGATGCTTTGTTTGGTGGCCTTAAATGAAGGGATATGCTTCCCTAGCAGAGATATTTCATTCAATGCAGAGAAAGTATTATAACACTTGGACACTACTGAAAGTGATTTGATGGAAAGTAGCACATATACTTTCTTCTGCTTTTCTACTCTGAGTGGAACTCAACCTCGTGTAGTATCAGCTGGTGCCACCTTCCCCACAGGGAGTACATAATTGGACTGTTTGTGGGAAGAAATTATGGTGGAGGGTAAGGGAAGAAAGGTTTTTCTATCCTATGCAAGTTCTGTCATTTCAGATTCTAAAACTAGAACACATAATACCAGGCATGTAAAAACAAAGCCTCTCTTTCCTCTTTGTTGGTATTAGTTACAGTCCCCCTGCCATCTCTCAGTCTTGAAAACTTCCAAGGATGGTGATGCCATGACCTCTGAGCAACTTGTTCTGATGCTTAATTATCCTTGTAGAGTATTTTTTTTTTCTCCTTATATCCAGTCACAACTTCCTCTGTTTCTATTGATGACAATTGTCTCTCATTCTCCCACCATGCACCTCAGTAAAGAGCCTAGCTCTATCTCCTCTACAACCTTCTTGGAAGGCTTTAGCTCAGTCCCCTTAAAGCCTTCTCTTCTGCAAAATAAATAGGCCCAGTTCCCTCAACTTATACGGCCTGTGTTCAGGCACCCTGACCATAGAATCACTATGGTTAGAAAAGACATCTAGGATCATCAAGTCCAACCTACATCCCACCATTTCCCTAACCACTAGACCATAGCCACAAGTGTTACATCTACTCAGTGTTTGAACACCTCCAGGGATGATGACTCCAACACCTCCCTTGGCAACCCAATCCAGCGCCTAACCACTCTCTCAGTGAAGAAATTCTTCCTAATATGCAATTGAAGCCTCCCCTGGTACAACTTGAGGCCATTTCCCCTCATCGTGTCATCAGTAATTTGGGAGAAGAGAGCAACACCAGCTTCACTACAACCTCCTTTTAGGTAGTTGTAGAGAGCAATAAGGTCTCCTCTCAGTCTCCTCTTCTCTAGACTAAACAACCCCAGTTCCCTCATCCTGTCTTCATAAGGAATGTTTTCATAAGGTATCCTGTCTTCATAAGGCAGCCCTCTCACCAGCCTCATTGCCCTTCTCTGGACCTGCTCCAGCACCTCCATGTCCTTCTTATCCTGTGGTGCCCAAAACTGGACACAGAGTACTCAAGGTGCAGTCTCATGAGTGCTGAGTGCAAGGGCACAATCACCTCCCCATTCTGATTGGTCACCAACCATCTTGGTGACCATCCACTGAACTGGCTCAAGTTTATTAAGATTTTTCTTGTACTGGAAGTGTCAAAACTGGATCCAATGTTCCAGATGTATTCTAATGGGTGCTGAGTAAAGTGGGATAATCGCCTAGAATCATGGAATCATAAAAATGCAAAGTTGGAAGGGACCTTCAAAGATGATGTGTTGCGCGGGGAGCCCCAGAATCACGACACACTTCACAGAAGGTTCGTCAGTGTTCCGCTTTAATCTCCACAGGCAGCTGTATTTATACACTC